TAGTTTGTAGTCCCCTAGCCATATTTTCTCAAGGTTTTCATCTAATAAACGCAAGCTCTTGGTGATTTCATTGGATTGTTTCACGCTAGGGTTGACACATGAAGTTTTAATTGGTAGGAGAAATTTTAATTTGTTAGTTTACCGTATCGAACCGACTGTTATGCGTATATTAATATCTATGCCAACTAATTAACAGTTTGTAGAATCCAACACATGTGATAGGGTCATGCAATTGTGACACTGCCGAAATATGTTAGAAGGAGGAGGAAATTATGCATTTCTTGTGGCGTAATGCTCGGTGATGGTGTCGACATGAAACTTTATTGGCGCCAAATCTCCACCATGAAAAAAGAGGATGATTTTATGAATAAATAAAGCTATACCAAAAACATTGAACCAAAGTTTTTATCTAAATTGGGAAAGATAATGTGTTTAAATACCTAAAAAGATTGGATTTTGTCAAAAATACCATTAGGGTTTTGAAGTAAAAGGAGCTATCATGAATTAAATTGTAAAGCCTATCTTAATTTCATAAAATGATAAATCTCATCATATTAAGATAGATCGAATCAGATGCGTGTATTAAATTTATACGTAAGTAATGCGTAAAATCTCTATTACTGGTAAAACATATAGTTTTCTTATTTTGAATTGCAAGAAATCTTTCAAAATAGTTCACTAATCAAGATTCATGCATCGGGTTTATGAGATAAGGAATTGAGTTTAAGACGTAAGGAGTTGCGCAATCTCAAGAGCTTTCTTGCTTAATCACATTGACCCAATAAGCTTTGTTTAGGTGATATGATTATGAAGATCGGATTAAGGATTGTTAGGTTTGCGTCCATGACATGAAGAACCGTCGGTCGACGAGAAAAAAAACCATGAAACAAGGAGGGTTAAAGGGGGAGATTATGAAACGAATAATACATAAGCACATGGAGATTTTCTGTTTCTTTCCACAACAGAAAAGAAATAAAGGGGATTGTTAGGTTTACTATTTGAGAGAGCAAGAAGATGACTGGTAACATAATCTGGTAGCATATCATCTTTGGCAATTAACTTAAGGCTTATGCAACTCACATGGAGAGATTATATAGCAAGGTTAATATTGACCACTCACGTTCTTTCTTAAAATAATAATTAATAAAATAAAAAGATAAATAAATAAATAAATTTAGTTTTTAATCTTTTGTTTTAGTCAAATTTATGTGATAATTTTAACATGAATGATCGATAAATTATCAAATTCATACTACGATAACGTGATAATCCATATAATGATCTACATATATTTTATTATTGATATGATATTATTTTATTGAAGAATTGCCCGTCCAGCTCAGTTGGTAGAGTGCAAGGCTCTTAACTTTGTGGTCGTGGGATTGAGTCTCACGGTGGACAATTTATAATTTTGATTGCCGGAGGTCTTCTACGGAAGCTGCTCTTAACCTGGCGTTGGGGGCAGCCTACTACCTTACCTCCCCTCACCCAATTACATATGGGAATAGAGTCAGTTAATTTTATATTATTTTATTGAATTTTTTATTTATTTATTTATGCTCTTTGAAAATATCTATATATTATGGTATCATGTAATTTTATAATCCTTTAGGATCTTTATTATTAATAATAAAATCCACTTACCTTAGAAAAAATAGTTACCTTATGATATTTTGTAGTAAATTAGTTTTTTAAAATAAATAATTTTGTAATTTTAAAATTATTTAGTGACGATGTACTGTGTCACGATAGTAATTAAATATATATAGATTGTCACACAAGTTATCATATTAGTTCCATATTAAATTTAGCAATTTAATTTTTCTTTTTTTCTATTAAAAAGATAAAGCTCAAATTTAATTAATAAAAATTTAAATATAGTTAAACATATAGTAATACTTTTTAATTTAGATTATAAAAATATTTTTTTACAGAATTTGATTTTAATCTAATTGTGGATTAAATTGTGATGTAAAAATAATTTTAAAATGTTAAGTGAGAGTGGGATCCACAAAATCAGATTTTTTTATTATTAGGAAAAAAAAATTTATTTGGGTGACATTATATTATATAGGTCATATTTTATTTTAATTTTCTAAAGATTAATAGTGATTTTTGTGAAAATTTGGCTTGGAAATGTGATAGCTACAAATAAATAAATTCTAAATATGACCCATATTTTTTTTATACATATGGGGTAATAATAACCCATATTTAACTTAAGGCGAATTTCAGACTTTTCATCGTATGATATAACTTTTTTTATAATAACTTGTATTCAATTTATTAATTGACTAATCTAGATCTGGTATTGTAGAGGCGAGTGTGATCCTTCCAACCCAATTTGCACCATTCACAAACGTCAGGATTCGAATTCCTGACCTTACTTAAGGGATCTAGTATCCCATCCCATTATTTTTAACTCAAGTAGAACCCATTAGTTTGCTAAAAAATAATAAATATTCAAAATTACAATAAGGACTTACAACAATAAGTAAAAGTTAAACAAATAATTAGGATATTTTTTATAACATTTAGGCAAGAAACTAGCCACTCAAGATCATAAACAAAGGATCGATACGAATAAATCTAACTGTATCGGCAAACAAACCACAACAGATGATAAAATTATTGAAAGACCACCGACAATCGTAAATCACATACGAGCGTGACGTGAGACAACTATCTCAAAATCTTAATGTACCCATACATCCTTTCTTTTTTTAATTCCATTTCCCTCTTTTCTATTGAAAAGAAAAAAGGAACAAAAATACAAAAGAGAAGGGGGGCAATTAGATGAGCCCTAGCTGCCATTAGGTTTCAAATATAGCTCTTTAATGTGAAGATGAAGGTGTAGGAAAAATTGGGATGATGTTGAGATTGACAATGTGGTGATTAATGTCACTCAATTGATGACAATTAAGAAAATGGACTGCAAGAATTAACACTTGATGGGGTCCTTTTTGTGCATCATGAGACCAACATTTTGACCCCACAATCTTTGTGATCTTTTGGCCATGCCCAACGGTTTTGGCTATTGGAAAATATCAATATTACAAATATATATATATATATATATAGTGAACAACAATGCTTTTTGATTCTCTACTTATTCACTAGCTTCTATACTGTAGATTTGGTCAAAGGCAATTTGATCAAAGCTTCCCCATGATTTCACTACCACATTAGGGCTTGAGCCTCAACCATGCTTTGATTACCTCTCCTTCCGTTTATTACATTGTCTCGAAAAATTAAGAGATTAGATTATAGATGTGAAAATTCAAAGTTAAGAATTTATTACACGAATTAATTAAACTAATTTCAATTTTTACCATTCAAATATCTTATTACGAAATTTTATCTTAAACACTTAAAAATTCATATTTTATTAATTAAATATCAACTTTAAACAGTCTATACTTAGACGGTTGAATGCAAGCTTCTTTCATTTACAAACTTTAGTGAACTAGGAGCAACATTGTACTTATTTTTGAATCAAAGGCTACAAAACAACGAAATTGATGTGATAATTTTTGAAATAATTTTTTCATTGAAAATCATATATAATTTGATAAAATAGAGTCATCATCAATCTTTTTTGGGTTAGATTTATTTATTTTTAAATGATTTATAAGATTTATATTTAAAATCAAAATAAAAATTAGATTCAAGAGTGGATTACCATTGAGAAAGATTAAAGTATCCATTACGCAAATGGTGGTAGCTATAATCACCATGAATGGGGGTGGTGGGAATTACTACATAACAAAAGCATGACATGAAGCGTAAAGCTTGTTTCCACCCCCAACACTAAAATCCCTCCCATATTATCTTTTTGTTGCCTTGTGCGGAGGTGTGGTCCCCACCATCTCACTCATTTCTCACGTGTCGGTCGTTCCCATATTTGGGAATTACACGTGTCATCGATCAACGGGCAAAATTCCTCTCCGTCATCATCATCATCACCACCCTCTCCTCTCTCTCTCTCTCACACACACACGAATTTTTTTAATCACTTACTTAGCATGTAATTTGTCAACGTTTGCTGTGCATGGAGATTACACGTGTCATCGATCAACGGGCAAAATCCCTCTCCGTCCTCATCATCTTCACCACCCTCTCCTTTCTCTCTCTCTCTCTCTCTCACACACACGAATTTTTTTAATCACTTACTTTGCATGTAATTTATCAACGTTTGCTGTGCATGGGGATTACACGTGTCATCGATCAACGGGCAAAATCCCTCTCCGTCCTCATCATCATCACCACCCTCTCCTTTCTCTCTCTCTCTCTCTCTCTCACACACACACGAATTTTTTTAATCACTTATTTTGCATGTAATTTATCAACGTTTGCTGTGCATGGGGATTACACGTGTCATCGATCAACGGGCAAAATCCCTCTCCGTCCTCATCATCATCACCACCCTCTCCTTTCTCTCTCTCTCTCTCTCACACACACGAATTTTTTTAATCACTTACTTTGCATGTAATTTATCAACGTTTGCTGTGCATGGGGATTACACGTGTCATCGATCAACGGGTAAAATCCCTCTCCGTCCTCATCATCATCACCACCCTCTCCTTTCTCTCTCTCTCTCTCACACACACGAATTTTTTTAATCACTTACTTTGCATGTAATTTATCAACGTTTGCTGTGCATGGGGATTACACGTGTCATCGATCAACGGGCAAAATCCCTCTCCGTCCTCATCATCATCACCACCCTCTCCTTTCTCTCTCTCTCACACACACACAATTTTTTTTAATCACTTACTTTGCATGTAATTTGTCAATGTTTGCTGTGCATAGGGATTCTTCAGCTAAACCAAACCCGTTTTCTCTCTCTCTTTAATAAAGTTGGTGAAGTGATCAAACTAACCTTCGAACCGGTCACGTGGCTTGTCGGGATTAGGTGAATTAAATCCTGGCCCACACCTTTCATAATCTTGTTTTAATGCCCATTTATAAAGAAAATGGTCATGGCAACTCTATGCAACATTATTTTTTTCCTCTAAAAAAAATTCTATGATGTTCTTCTTCTCTGGTAAACTTTCAGAATCCAAAGCCCAAAACTCTCAATTTCTTTACTGAATTGTATATATATTTATATAAACACGTATATATACATATATTCAAAGTTCTTGTAATGGAGAGCACGGACTCGTCGACTGGCTCGCAGCAGCCGAACCTCCCGCCGGGGTTCAGGTTTCACCCGACGAATGAGGAACTAGTGGTTCACTATCTCAAGAAAAAGGCTAGCTCAGCTCCTTTGCCGGTTGCAATTATTGCTGAAGTTGATTTGTACAAGTTTGATCCATGGGAATTACCAGGTAAATTAAAAATTTTATTTTTCTAATTATTTAATGGAAAAGGGTATGCATGAAAAGTGAGGAAAATAATCTTTTGTAAAAATATGATTTTGGTTTTCAGCAAAAGCAACGTTTGGTGAGCAAGAATGGTACTTTTTTAGTCCTAGGGACCGGAAGTATCCGAATGGGGCGAGGCCAAACAGGGCGGCAACGTCAGGTTACTGGAAAGCTACTGGAACCGATAAGCCGGTGTTGACTTCAGGTGGTACTCAAAAGGTTGGTTTGAAGAAGGCACTAGTCTTCTATGGAGGGAAGCCACCTAAGGGGGTCAAAACAAATTGGATCATGCATGAGTATAGACTTGCTGATAATAAAACTAACAACAAACCCCCTGGATGTGACTTTGGCAACAAGAAAAATTCACTAAGGGTAAATCACTTTCTTGTCAGATTTTATTCATTTTACTGTTATATGATATGTATCAGAAATTGATTGTTTTATTTTTTTTCTGTTTGTAGCTTGATGATTGGGTGTTGTGTAGAATCTACATGAAGAACACGAACAGACCTCTGGAACATGATAAAGATGACTCCATTGATGACATGCTCAGAACCGTACCTCCATCGATATCTATTGGCAGCCATCACAATACAAAATTCCAGTTCTTGACAAAGGGAACAAGTTTTGGCCCATTGCTCGAAGCTCAAGAACATAGTCTGTTCGATGGAATGCTAGGGAGTACTGATGGGATCAACAATGGTTCCATTTCTAATCACTTGGGATGTTCAAGCTCAAAGGGAGACTTATCCATGGTTAATCCTCTCAAAAGGATACTCTCGTCGCTTTACTGGACCGAAGATGAAACCGCGGGGCCTTCGACGAGAAAGCGATTCCACGGGGATAGCAACGACGGTGAAAGCTTGGAGAAAACAGACGGGAATGGTTCGATCGCCACTCTTCTTAGCCAGCTACCACCAACCCCTCCGTTGCAGCAGCAACAGCAACAACAACAAGAAGAAGCAATGTTGGGAGGGATCGGAGACGGGATGTTTCGTCCTCCATATCAGCTTTCGGGGCTCAACTGGTACTCTTAATTCGATCTTGATAAATACTCCATCTATATATAAAAAATCAAAATTTTCAAGTAGCTTGGGAGCTTGTCCAGTATCATGTTACATAGGTGTTGATATACTGTCGCCAATTATAGTGATGAAGAATTTGGGATAAAAAGATTGAGATTTTGGTTTATTAGGTCAGAGATTAGAAGAGTCAGGCCTCATTGTTTCTTTGAGTGTAACATGTAGCTGCCACGAATTTAATCTCTTGAGGCCATAGGTAAATTTTATAATATATAGTTACATATATTGTATACATATACATATATTGTATACATATACATACATTCATATATATATATATATATGAGGGAGGTGGAAACTTGCTGTAGAAAAAGAAATTAATAATAAAACTGATGAACATATGATAAAATATTTGTATAGAACTCCTTGTTGTAGCTTGCAGAACTTTTTATTGACGATTATTATGTACATATTTCTTCTTCATCATCGTCTTTTTGGTTACTTAGGTTTTAGATTTCGAACGATGATTAACGTGTAATCTCGTTACTTGAATAACATGATTCTAATATTTTTTTAAGAAATTTTAAAAAAAATGAAGTGTTTTGGTATGCAATTGAAAGCATGCAATGTGATTATAAATGCATATTTCAACTAAAAAGTGGCCACTAGTTTATTATCGTACTAAATTCCAAAGTTTGAAAATAATAATATTTAATTATATTATTGACTAACAATATAATTAGTGAGCTATAGTTATCATTATAGCATTAATAGGTATGAATGCTCAATAATTGGTTGATAAGAGTTGAAATATATGGGCCCATATTACTATTTTTAACAATTTTTTATTTTTAATACAATTTCATAAAGTAAATATATTTTAATATATCTATAAGCTCTGCCCATCACCTGATTTAATTTATTGCTAATCTATAACCTACTTGACAAATGTTTAGCTTATAAAAGAATTATAAATATTTAAATTATATAATAATATTTTTTTCAATTATCAGTCTTATTAAATAAAATATTTAAATTATATAATAATGTTTGGCTTTCCCTTATCTTTTTTTTTTTCACTTGACAAAGATGGTTGATCCCCTAGACAATGAAAGATAACAATTTAAAAATATTTAAATAATTTTTTTTTGTTTTTTCCCCTCTATTTCAAACCATGTAAGAAGTAGGGTTGGAAAGATTTAATATCTTATTCCTTAAGGTTTTTTTTATATATAGAAGAATATATAAAATTTTCAAAGCACTAATCGATACATATATCTTACTCATTAGTTGTCTTATACATGCTTAATTAATTTAAGAAAAAAATTAAACTCGTGTCTTCATTATTTTTGTATAATATTTAAATTATTTACAATTTTTTATACTTTTAAATAAAAATAATTAAATTTTAATATATATTGAAATTTATAAAATCTGAAAATATCAATTAATTAAGACTCTATTAATAAAAAATATTTACATAAAAATCGAATATTTAGGAAATATTAAGTGTGGGAGTCATTTTCTGTATGATAAGACAATAGCTAAGTATATTCCATGACCTAGCTAGAGGTCACACAAATTGATAATAAGAGTCTACCTCTCAAAAAAAAATTTCTTGAAAGACTACCTCACAAAATTAAATGGCCATTAATGGGACCATTTCACTATCATCAGATGGAATCATTATCTTAAAACCACACAAATTAAAAGCCATTTAATTTCATTCCTTTCCAAGGAAACGCACAAAACAACTTTATAATAATATTTCACATCATTTACTAATTAATTTTGGAATATATTGTGAAATTAACAAAAGATTACTTAAATTTTCTTTTGAAATTTGATAATTATTATTTTTATAAAAATACTTAGTTTGGTTTTGATAATAAGAAAAAAATTGAATAAGGATAGAACTTGGCATACAATAAAACTTAAAAGACATAAAATAAAATAAAGTGACCCACTGGAATTAAAATAGAAAACAAAACCCATAAACTTTTCTGTAAACATAAATAAGCTAATCCTCTCAAATTAAATCTTATGAGATTTCTTTATCGATCAATGAAGATTTTAGATCGGGGTTTTCTTTATAAAAAATGATGATAGTGGTTCTCAATCGTAGAGGAAGTTAAAATTGTGTCATCATTTATAGTAGTTCAGTGTATCTTCTGTCGGAATCTGCTAGTTCGAGCACTCCACTAGACATGTCCTCCACCTAGAATCAATCTGTTTCATTTCGCATTTTGTCACCATCGTATGAGCTTCTTCGTTTCCCCCTCTTACTATGAACTGAAATCAACAAAATCCTAAGCTAACATCTTTACATCCTAAATAATCCACCTTATTTTTTAGTAGCCTTTCACTTGTGTCTACAATTTAGTGATGAATGATCTTGAGTCACTCTCTATATCATCTTTCGTAAATCTAAATTATGTACAATTCGAAGTTCGTGTAGAGCTTCATTGTCTCTGTGAGAAACATTAAACTAAATAGGTTGTATATTATGTGATATGATTTCTTCTTCTTCTTTTTACTCTACGAAATATTTATTAATAAAATATACTCTCAAGTTTTGAACATACTTAAAAACTTCTCTAATTTTAGATGGAAGAAAAAGAATACTACACGACTAGAAAAGCATTGCAACTAGAGAAAAAGCTACACCCAAAATCACAAATATTAAACATGATATATATACCTCACAACCTGAACGTAAACAAAGCTCATTCCTGTAATTGGACTAAACTATTGTCGCCATGCTTTATAAAAAATCTGGTCTTTACATTCCTATCTTCTCTAGATGATTATGTAACATCTCAAACTACGAGTTAGTGACTAAATTGTAAAATTTTAGAATTTAATGACTAAAGTATAATTTATTAAAAAGTTCAGGGATTTAAAGAGAAATATTCTGGTATTGGATTAAATTATGAGGAATGAAAATATGAAGGGTAATGTAGTCTTTTCATGTAAAAGATATTTATCTCTTATTTAAAGAGATAAGCATGTGAGTTAGGGAGTATCTGGAAGTTTATCTCCTTATCTTCTTCTCCCCGTAAGACTCAAAGGCAAAGGTGAGTCCTCTTGTTAGCTGATTATTTGTTAATTTTAAGTGTGGGTTTTGATCCTTAGGTGATACTTAAGCTTAAGGAAAGTTTAAGTTGTCTTAAAATCAAAAGATGAAGAAGTTATGAAAGATTAAAGAGAAGGAGTTTCTAAATGAATTTCTGGAAAAGAGTTAATAAATGAATTTTGAGATTGAATTTGACTTGTCATCAATACGAATAAGAGATTTATGAAGTTAGAAAGGATTAATAACAAAGTTGAAAGTTTAGTAAGATTCTTAATTTTAAGAATCATGATGAGATATGGAATATAAAGATGGTTTATATGGATATAAGTTGATTTAAGTAATAGTGGTTGAGTTTAATGGCGTGATAGGGGTTTAAAATGGAAGATTTAGAGTAGTATGAGTGAAATTTCATGCTTAAAATATGATTTCTGGGCAAAGTGTATCGGTGCACATTCAATAGGTATTGATACACTCTTAATTAAGAAATCATCGAATGCAATAAGTGTATCGATACACAGGCAGTGTATCGATACACAGGCAGTGTATCGATACACAGGCAGTGTATCGATACCCTACTTGAAACGAAAACTTCGAATGTAATTAGTGTTAACGATACATAAGTAGTGTACCGATACACCAGTGAAGGGATGTACCGATACCCTATAATGGGTACCGATACACTATGAAGTAAAATGGAAATAGATCTTTCCTTTAATTAAGAAATGAAAGATTAGAATAAACTATTTACTGATATGTAGCAATGTATGATTATGTAGATTGTGAACGTAACTCTGTTCTGGAACAATCAAAGAATTAGAATCAATTCGAATCCAGTGAAGCTAAGGTGAGTGCCTAATAGAATTATAGTTCAATGGAATTAAGACTTGTGATAAGTCTATTCCTTGTATTAGTTTCCATAGCATAATAGTTATGAACATGCATATATGATGAATGTTCTAATACATGTATAAGTTATATATGTTTATATGATTTGACACATGATATATGATTCATATAATATATGATAGAAGAAAAGACATATATGATTACAAGAGAAATGACATGAGTACATGAACATATGAAGCATAAGAATAATGCCCATGTTATATTATATGACAGTTATAGGTATAGTTAACATGTCAAGAGTCGAGGGTTCGTAGGTCCTTCGAGACAAATTTCACATGCCCCTAGTGGGACCCCATACAAACTGTGGTGACAACATATGTGCACAACTTCAATGTACTCGAATACCTTGAGTTCTCAGTAATGTACATAGGACTATAAAAGGTTATCAAAGGTAATTGCATTATTATTGTTATATGTTACCATGTTATTATTGTTATACTGAATCACATGTGACATTATTGAATTAATAGATTGCATGTTCATATTCATAAGGAATGCATCATTATTATATTTATATGCCTCACTAAGTTTATGACTTAGCGTGTAAGCGGTTTACACGTAGGTACTCAGAAGCAGGAGAATCAAATTTAAGTTCAACATAACAACATATCTCCACTCGAAGATCAAATCAGAAGTAAATTTCATTGTATGTATCTTGTTGTAATAAATAGGTTGGCATGTAAACAAGGTTGTTAAGTATGTATGCTCTGATTGAGTTGGTAATGTTTTGAATGTATTTTATGTAAATTATTCAATCATATTTAGTAAAAAGTTTTAAAAGTATTCACTATTTTGTATAAGTAAATGTTTTGAAATGTCAATGTGACACTTCGGATTCGTATCCAGGTTGGATACGGGTTGGGGTGTTACAGATTAACCATTCCATTTTAGGACCTTTGCACATATTTGAAATGCACTGATGAAATTTTACAAGTCAATCAATCAATTTGGTGCTTCATCATATCTATAATCTTATTAATGATGAAGCGATCTAATTCAGAATTACCTGACAATATGATTCCATAACATAAATAGTTTTACCTTTCCAATCTACTTCAATGAAAACCTATAAGGCTCATTTAATTACTGCCAGTTCTATAAATTGAATATTGGTCCAGAAAAAATAGCTCTAACATCCTGAATGATAATGCTTGTTTGTTATTTTCTGATTCGTCGGTGAATATATTGCGTTGACATTGATTTTGATCCAATTTGAAGGTGATGGTAATCAATGAACTGCTTGCAAATGTTGCGGAATACGACTATCAGATAGAGCAAAATCACAACTGATAATTTTAGAAAATAAAAATGAAGATAAAGAATACACAAATTTTACGTGGAAAACCCCTAAATAATATAGGATAAAAACCACGGGCAAAGGTAAAAGAATTTCACTATAAGAAAATAGGAATTACAACTTCT